GACATGCTCATGTAGGTGTTCATGCCGTTCATGCCCAGGCCAGCGTTCATGTTGCTCACCGAGGAGTAGCCCTGCGGACAGAAGCCGGGGGGCGGAGGCACACGCGTTAGCACCGCGGCGGGAGCGCGCCCTGCGCCCTGCGCCCTGACCTCCCAGCTACCAGGTCAGCTCTGACCCCCTGGGGAGTCCATCCCTCGTACCCCCCACTTCTCCCCCTCCGGCACCCCGAGTCCGGTTCACTCAGAGAACGCCCTGATCGCCTTTGGAGAGGTGGCCAGAGGGTTGCTGCTCTGTGAGCGTGGCTAGTTCCTAGCCCTTCTCCGCCGGGCTCGGATTCTAAAACAAGGGTCCCCTGGAGCACCCCAAGGCAGGCACCTCAAAATCTCTGCCCTGCCCCGAGTCTCCCACCACTCTGGCCAGCACAGTGAGTTGCCGCCAGGGCCATAGCGTGCAACCTGTGGGACCCCGCGCAGGGCGACACGGGTGGCCTCAAGGGAGGACTGTCCCAAGTTCCTCTCTGTTCGCTTTTCCTCCCAGAAGCCCATTCTTGGCCCCGGGGGAACCGAAACTCGGGGCCTGAGCGGAGCCTGGGGCCAGCCGGGGGCTTTGAATGAAAGGATAAGGAGGGGACGGCAAACTGAACTCGGGCGCCGGGGTTTGCAGCCACCAACTTTCTCTTTGTCCTCGGAGTCCTTAACTCCTCTCTTGTACCTCAGCCCCCCACTCGTGCCCACCTTCTTCCCTCCGGCTCCCCACCCCCTCGCCGCCGAACTCTTACCCCTCCCCAGCCGCGCGCTGCCAAACATAACTCTGTTAGGATAGTGCGTGGCTCGACCACGAAGAGGATTTGGAGGCGCCGCAAGTCAATATTTGATCACAAAGTTAATATTATCTCAAGGCTAACAGTGTGTCGTATAAAAAAGAGACCCATTTGAGTGGAAGGAGGGTGGAAAAGGTGGCTGCCCGGAGCGGCTGCGGGTGGGGGGCGGACGCAGGCGAGGACAGCGGCCCCGAGGTTGGGGCCGGAGAGAGCGGACGCCGCCACCCCACGTCCCCCCGGAAAAGGCGAGTGCCTACCTCCGGCTCGGCATAGTAGCTGCTCCAGTCGGACGGCTCGTGCCCTTCCATCTTCACGGCTCCCAGCATACTGGAAGCCGAGTGCATGGCAG